TTGGGCCAGTGAAGCAACATCCTCTACAACTAGACTGAAGAACAAAACGACAGCAACTTGTCTGTTCCCCTCCCCCAATTCCCCAAAATCTTTAAAAACAAAACAAACAAAAACAAACAAACAAAAAAAAACACACAAAAAACACCACTATCCTCTGACATTGAGTTTTATTGGGTAGTCGGGAAAGTCATGACATATTTTTCTAAGTTTTTCAATGCACAAATGCATCATGACTTTTCCGACAACCCAATAGTACTTCAGGCTACAGCCAGTTTTTTGTATTTAAATGCAAACAAACAAGCAAACAAACATAAATGATGTCATAACATTCTGGTAATAAAAGGTCCATGTATGTATTATGCTTTCATGTTCTGATAATCATAACAAAATTTGACTGTTGGGAAATTTTAAAAAATTTATTTCCACTCCACTCAAAATAATAGTTAAAACTAAAGTTTATGCTATAGTCAGTACAAAATCATCATAGACATGTATACGACTTGAAAATTTTTTTTAAAACACCTCCAGTTTAAATTTAACACTGTCAGTCATAGAATGTTTTATTTTAAACTTGCTGTTCAAATTTTCAAATACCACACATGTGGCAAAAAAACAGTTAACACACAACATCTGCCACAATTCTATCTTTGAACTGCCTTTTCTATATTATGATATGTTACAATTTCTTACATTCATGGTATTTTTAAAGGCAGCAATGTCAATTTTTTTTGCTTTGAAAACAGTTCCATTAATGTTCTGAAGTTGCTTAAAATGACAACTTTTTCCCTTTAGAATTCTATTGCTGCCCACATTAATGAAATAATTCAACATATTATTAATAAGTTGTTGAGAGGTATACGGTACTCAGCTTTCACCTCTAAGTTAAAACCAACTTCAATCCAAAACAAGCATTTTCCTAAATCAGGATACTCTGCTACTTTTCTCAAAAATATTTCCATTCTGAAATAAGTTTCTGTGTGTGTGAGATACAATAGTTTCATCTTTTATTCCTAACAGAACTCATGCTGTACTTTTTTTTCTCAAAATATATTTGACATAGTCTGTGCAAAATGTTAAGTTCTGTATAGGTATGTACCTTATTTTGAAAAAGTTTATAAAATATAATTCCTAAAAACAACCTCAACATCAGACAATAGAGGAAGAAGAAACATATCAGACACAGCCTAATTATTCACATGAGAAAATAAGTATGTTCTTAAAGCTCCAGTAATACATTCCTTGAAAAAACTCAGAATGCACTTTGGTCATTATTAAACATAGAACACAGGCAAATAAAACAAAATGCTTTTGCTGTTTTCTACAGAAAGAAAATATACTAGAGGCTGAATTGAGGCTGATCAAAAGGAATGGTAGGAGCAAAGTGATATTATGACATGGCTCTGTTCTCTACACATTCCTGATCTTAAGATTATGATTTGGGGATTAGAACTGCACCAATCAAATAAGTCATTTACAACTAATTATTTTAAATCCCCTAAAATGTGGTTTAAAAATGTGAGGATATTAAACACAATACATCTTGCACCAAAAAATTCTAGATTGTTCAAATAAATTCTATTTTAGAAACTAGATGCTCAGTTTTAAAAAAATGGCAAAAACATTTCATGTCTCATTTATTTCCTAAAATATTCTTGATTGATTGTACAAATATAACAACTTAAAATCAAGGTCCAATGTAAGATACTATCATATTTGCCTTATTTACCTAACATGCCAACATGATAAGTTCTCATTTGGACACCTGGCAAATTATTTGGGGGTGGGGGGATGGGGGTGGTTAACTTTCCAGGTTAAAAGCATCTAAAATAGCCCTTATATAATTGGAGAGGGGAGGGAGGGATGTATCAGATTAACTTTAGAAGATAGAATTTGCAAGCTGAAGCTGTCTTTTTCTGAAAATTTGGATATACAGTATTTTCATAACTATCAATCAGAGGAGTATCTTATTGGTTGTTAACCTTACTGTCAAGTTGTTCATTTGAGTGTGGTATGAACAGCATACACTATAGTGTACCATGGGGAGAAAATTATTATACTTGAGTAAACATAATGTACTTCAGTAATATCAGTAGGCACTTCACTTGTGAGATGAGTATATACCTCACTCAAAAGGATACCATATCATGCCCTAGTACACTATAACATATCCCATATAAACATACGCATTAAAAGTAACAATTTTTAAAAGTGCACATTTTGAGCATGCACAGTTAGAGCTGTGCAAACAGCCCAGTGTTTCAAATAAATACAATTATTACTAGTAAATTTTTATCAAAATATCTTACAGTATGGTAACCATTTACAATTATTGCTCTATTAAGAGTTTTATCATCAAAGAGCACTTTGTTGACCTGTTATGTAATACCATATATATTAATACTGAAGGGTGCTTCACTGCAGCTTAATCAGTTTAGATCCTGGCATTGTTCCAAAATAATTCAAAAGAAACCCTGACTGGATCTTGATTTACTGAAGAAAAAATGTTTCATGTGTCTAGCAGAGTTCAATGCGATATTCCAAAGTTAAAGACGTTTTCCTCGAATAAGGCAAGTTCACGGCATCGATGGAGAAACAGTGTTTAGCAATGGCTTCTATTCTCACGAGTTGTTGTTTTGTCAATTATTTGTGAGCAATTACCAGGATCTCAAGTATCTGGATATCAGTTTTATCACCCTTTCATCAACAACTAAGCACATCAATGCTACAAATAAAATATAAAGACTAAAATAAATGTAAAAAAACCCCCCAAAAAACAGTGAACAGGTAAAATAAATATAAGAATTGCACAAGACAGTCTGATGTAAACACTTGGATTTCCCAGCTGAGGCTTCCGAAGCAGAGTCAGTGGCTGCTTCCAAGCAGCTTAGTTGGTACTTTTATTCTGGAAAAGAGGCTACATCTCCTTTTCTCCGAATTGTCATGATTTAATCTTCCACAGCTGGTGAAAAAATAACAAAAGTAGTGACCATTAGAGCCAGTTTTAATAGCACAACTTATGAAATTATATCACAGAATACTACTTTTTATGTAAATTTCATACTATTTAAACTCTTTTATCCTTTTATTTTCAAGAAGAGTTCACCTTAAATAAAGTGAAAATCACATTTCTCTTGCTTTCTTTTATAGGGAAGTGGCAATATACATGTACTACTTGCTTGATATAAATGTTGTACAACTTATTCACTAACAGCTGAACATACTTTGGAGGACGTATGCATTACTATATAGATAAATAACTTTTGGCCAAAAAAAAAAGTAGGTCTCTTCTTTTTATTTTTTATCACCTAACTTAGATTCAGATTATATGAGTAAAAATAAATACCTCCACTTATCCTACACAAGAGCCCTATTTGTAATGAATACTGTTCCAAATTAGGAGTTCCAACAGTATTATAAACCAAGAATGCTCATCATGCTTTGAAATTAAATGTGAATTATTTTCACTAATTGTGTACAATATTATCAAAATGATTCCATTACTGCACATGTGAGATCTCAAAAGAGTGCTAGAGTAAAATAAATGTCACAACAATGTAATAGGGCACTAAGTAAGAAAAAATACCTGCATGCTCTTACCTTTAAATTAAATCCAAGCAAGTCACTGATAACACCAGAAACGGCTGACAGGATGACAACCTGCGTGATGTTATAAAGGAGTGGATTCATTGTAAGCCCATATAATCTAAAGGGACTGTCCAATTCCTAGAAGAAGAGAAAAAAGTCATGAGCCCAGATTCATTAAGAATTATCACAGTTTAACTAATTCAAGGCAATATGCAAAGAGGATTTAAAAAAACTGTTTCAAAAAGCAGTTACAAATTATGGAGTTTTAGAAAGGATACACTTGGTTAACCTAAAATAAGTAAATCTACTTTTAGCATTTTTTTTTTTTAGAATAAGGTGTCTTCCTTCAAAAGAACTCTGTAACCAACTGATGGCTGCCAAAGGGGAAGGGGGTTGGGTGACCTGGGTGAAAAGGGAAAGGGATTAAGAAGTATAAATTGGCAGTTACTAAATAGTCATGGGGATATAAAGTACAGCATAGGGAATGCTGTCAATAATATGGTAATAACTATGTATAGTGCCAGGTGGGTAACTAAGACTTACCAGGGGATCACCTTTTAAGTTATATAAATGTCTAACCGCTATGCTGTACCTGAAACCAATATAATATTAAATTTCAACTATAATTGAGAAAAAAAATCACTCTGCAAATTTTAACTCCAACTTCCACCCCAAATGAATGACTAGTCAAGTATTGGTCTAGTAGCTACAAGATTTGAGAGCATTTTTTAAGTATATGAATAGAAAATGAGAAAGAAAAATGTCTTTTTGCAGAAGAATTAGAAATTTAATTGGCCAGTTTTCTGTCAATATTAATACATATGTAAAGACTCCTCTTTGAGACAATTTTTGAATACATGGATTCATTAGTTAATTGACTGGTTCAAACACTGAAAGTTCTATTATATGCTAGGCCCTGTGCTAGGCTCTGGAAAGTTAAAATTCAGTCCCTGCATAGAAGGACCTTACAGTCTAACAGACATGCAAATAAATAAGGCAACTATGAGAGTCCCTATAAGTGGCTTGTATAAAAGGCAGAGGTCACAGAGGAAGGTGCTCCTGAAACTTCATGGGTCGGGGAGAGCAGGTATTCCATCAAGACCCATGAGAACTTGGCGCCTTTGAATTGCTAGAGGTTGCTCAGCACCATTAAGAGTCCAAGTGCAAGGAAAAAGGTACTTCCAATTTACAAAATGGGCTCCTTATGCACGGGTCATTCTTTAGGCAGACTGTATTGACAGACAGGCAGTAAAGGAATTTAATGTGGGGAACAGTATATCAGATGTGCATGTGAGAAAGATAGTAGGGTCAGCAATGTGGAAGATGGCAGGGAAAATAGGACTCTAGAGCAAGATGCTGTTAAGAGTTTAGTGCATCAAAAGCCTAAGTGAGATGGTGGGGGTCTGACTTAGGGCAGTACTGATGGGGAAGAGGTGATGAATTGGAAGATATTTGAGAGGTTGAATCAATGTGCCTAAGAATTTCTTGGCTGTGAAGAGTGAGAGAGAAAGAGAAATCTATATTAAGTCCCAGGTTTCCGACTAGAAGACTATGTATCAGAAGCGATAACGCTTGTGCTTTGTATTTTAGTTATTTTAATATTTTTCTCCACTCTGAGTCAGAAGCTGCTCTTAAATCTCACCTTTATAGCCTCCTCCTATCTAGCATAGAGCTAGATATTCGATACATATGTATCAAATAAGCCCTCGTCTTCTGAACCCTTTTAATGCCTAATATACTGTGGGGCGCAGTCTATACCCAATTAACACTTTCTAGTTGAGTGAGAATTAACAACAACATTGGGCCGGCCGAGTGGCGCGATGGTTAAGAACTGGCTTGGGACGCCAGAGGTCCCCGGTTCAGATCCCACCTATGAGGGCCAGTGACACTGCCCTCCACAGCTAAGATGCTGAACAACAGCTCAACCTGGAGCTGGGCTGCTGTGTGTCGCCGGCGATGGCGTAGGCTGCAGCCCCTGTGGTAGTGGGTTGCTATGGGCTACTGTGTGTAGCCAGCAGCCAGCGTGAGCGGGCAGCAGCCGCAGTGAGCGGCCGTCCAGAAGCCGGCAACTGATCTGCCTCGCCCGGGAAGAGCGCAATGATGGTGCCAAATTGGGTCAGTGAAGCAACGTCCTCCACAACTAGACTGAAGAACAAAACAACAGCAACTTGTCTGTTCCCCTTCCCCCAATTCCCCAGCGCAGTTCCCATCCCCCCAATTCCCCAATAAAAATCTTTAAAAAAAAAACACAAAAAACAATAACATTAAGACAACTAATTTCATACCATTCTCTGACCACTTATAAACAACTCTACGAATTATATGTAGTTTGTTATAGAAATTGAGATTTTAAAAAATATTTTCCTCTTAAAAAAGAAAAGCATTACTAACACTGCAAAACAGTGATCAAAATATTTTATAAAATTACCTCCAAAGAGTTTTTATAAGATCAGATACATTGAAATTATGTTCTTTTTGATTATTACCCAAAATGACTTGAAAATATAAATATTTATTTGTAATATGTATTTATTATTATATAATCATTATATAGTACTACTTTTTAAGCTAACTCAGGCCAAGCAGAATACTGCCCTACAAAATACAAAATGAAAAACTTTCTGAATTAACATTAAATCTTCTTTTTTGAAATCTATTTTAAAGTTCTAGCAGGCAAAAATTTCCAAAGATGCCAAAGTCTACAATATTCTAAACATTATTAAACGTCTTAAAATTTCAAGTTATTAAAATTTCAAAATGAGGGGTGGCCAGGTGGCTCAGTTGGTTAGAGCACAAATCTGAGAAACAGGTTTGCTTATTCGGTTCCCACATGGGCCAGTGAGCTGCACCCGAGCTGAGCTGCCACTGAGCTGCCGATGGGTGGCCAGACGGCTCAGTTGGTGACAGCAAGTGCTCTGAACGAGGTTGCTGGTTTGACTCCCGCATGGGATGGTGGGCTGTGCCCCCCCGCAACTAGATTGAAAACAGCAACTGGACTTGGAGCTGAGCTGCGCCCTCCACAACTAAGACTGAAGGACAACAACTTGACTGGGAGCAGATGGGTCCTGGAAAAACACAATGTTCCCCTTCCCCAATTCCCCAACACTGTTCCCTTCCCCAATTTCCCAATAAAATCTTTAAAAAAAAAATTTTTTTTTCAAAATGAAAGGATTTGGATTACTTTATTAGTTTTGTAATGAGAAATAAAATGTAAATTGCATAAATGTGGTCAAATATAATTTGGAAACAATGTGGATAATCATGAAAACAAAATACAAGGCAGGATCTACAAACAAAAGACTAAGATACAATGTCAGAACAGCATATTCTACATTATATCCATTTTCAATTTTATTTTTACCTTTAGCAGTTTAGTAGCCAGTTTTAAAACATTATTCACCAGTGTCAGTTCCTCTTTTTTGTTAGGTTTCTTCTCCATTTTCAAGTATAGGTTTATCTTTTATAAAAAAAGCAAACAATTAAAATACTTAAAATAAGATACTCATTTTAAAAAGAAATTGAAAGATTTACACTAAAATATTAATGGTAGTTGTCTGGTTATTGAGATTATAGGGGATATTAATATTCTTCATACTTTACTATATATTCTAAATTTCCTACAATAAATGTATTATTTTATAATAAGAAAATAACTATTTAAACTTTTCAAATATAAAAGCTGAAACAAGAAAGAAAAACTGGATGTCATTATTTAAAAGGTGAAACACTTTAGTCCCACAGCCAAATCAACCTAAAGTATAAACAATAACTAAAGTTAATCACTTGGTTTGTTTGCTACTCTCTTTTCATTTTAATTGAACTCATTTGACAAGGTTACCAATTTTTTAAAATCAAACTACCCCTGACAAAAATATTCAAGATCATTGGCGGTTAAGTTTCTTTGAATAATTCCTATGAAATGGTAAAGAAAATGTTAAATTCATACAAAATAAAGTTAACCATCAATATTATTATGCTTTATCCTTTCTATTGAATAAAAATTCAAACATGGCTCTGCTACACCGTAAAGCAAATATATCCCACTAATGGTTTAAAACCCATCATTTCTATAAATGGTGCTTCTTATCAAATGATGATGAGACATAAAAACAGTGGATTAGATTTGAAGTCTGTATCAATGCAGGAACACTGAAGAAAGGCTTAGGTCCTATCAAATTTCAAGTTTTGCTTTACAACACAAATGGTCTTAATCTAGTAACACAGGCTCCTCAAAAACTTGAAGTAAATGAAAACATTTTAGTTTTATATGTAGACTATGGACATTAATTTGTAACATAATAAACATGTATTCTCACCTGTTCTGTTAGTAATATTGAGGTATTGCTATATTTTTTACTTGTTTCTGATCCAAGAGTAACAAATCTTAGCAGAAAAAGTGTTAACGAGATGCACCAGATTACCAGTTCCCAATTGTAGTGACAATCAAGGAAGATCTCATGCACATGAAGCAACTAAAAGTGAAAAAGGCAACATGAAGAAGCAATGTGATTCAAATTCTTTTGAATAGAAAGTAACATTTTACTTCATACAGACCGACCATGAATGTAGTATTACATTTTAAAAACATTTCACATTTATTATGAAGTATTTCAAGCACATAAAAAGCAGAGTATAATGTAATCAAACCACATGGGGCCTCTACTTCTTTTTGTCAAATCTTAATATTTTACAATATTTCTTTCAGATTATTGAAAAATAAAACATTAAAGATTCATTTGAAGTCCCTTTAAACTTTTCCTTGATCATTATTCCCCTTCTTCCCCATTCCCTCTGTAAGGGTAATAATGTTATTTTTTGCGTGCAGAAATAATGCATGCAAATACATATGTGTACGTAGTTTATACATATATGTAGTTTAGCTACATATATATATCCTTAAACTATGTTATTTTACATCTATATTATAATTCATAAAAATGTTATTACTGATAGGTCGGTCGGTAAAAAAACGTGCAGTCAGTCAAGTTAAGAAAGTTTAAGAAAGTCTACTTTATTAAGAGAGAGTCTATCGGGCTGAGCAAAGATAGCTACAGCCCGGGCTGCACGTCTAAAGGAGACTTGCAGCCCGGAGGGAGGGGATGAGGAGGGTTATATAGGGGCGGTGATGACAGGGTAGCATTGTTTGAACAGAAAGTGTTGACTGCCTGTATGCCAATAGCTGTTTAGGGGCATTTTCTGTTATCGCAAGCTGGGTTCTATCTGCAGGTGCAGGCCAACAGACATTTTGTTTTCTTGCAAACATGGCTCTGTCTGTTAAGTCAAGGTCTCTGAGACCTAACATTCAGAGACCTAACATTAAGTCAAGGTCTCTAATATTCAGAGACCTAACAATTACATTGTTCACATCATTCTTCAATTTGCTTTTTATTCCACTTAATTTTGTTTTCAAGATTTATCCATGTTGATACATAAAGCTCAAATTCATTTATTCTAATTCCTTCCTGTAAGGAAGGTATTATAGTAAAAGAGTCCACCACAATGAATTGGCCTCCTCTATACATTAACTTTTATTTTGTTGCCAATTTTCCTCATTAAAGGCAATGCTGTAATAAACATCCTTTTAACTGTTTCTTTGTGTGTAAGACTCTTTAGGAGTAAAACTGCTGGGTCCCTGGATATTCACATACAGAATTTTCCCATGTATAAGATGCACCCTTTTTCGAAAGATTTGGGGTCTAAAAACTGGGTGCATCTTATACAGTGGTTGTAGTTTTTTTACTTGCATTTCCCTCAAGTGATGAGGAGTTGTATGAATTTTATGATGAATAAAACTTGAGTTCAGTAACTTTATGTAATACATTTTTTTCAAATTTTGGGCCCCAAAATTAAGGTGTGCCTTATACATGGGAGCGTCTTATACATGGGGAGATACGGTATTTAACTTAATTAGCTATTACAAACTTCTCACTAAAACAGTTGTGCCAATTTATATTCTCAGCAGTGTTACAAGAGTTCCCTTTTTATCCACACTTGGTATTATCAAACTTATTACCTGCCAATCTGATGGGTGTAAATTATCTTATTGCTTTGATTTTGCTTTTCCTGATTATGTAAGGAGAATAGATATGTCTCATATACACACTTATTAGTCATTGGGTTTCCTCTTCTGTAAGTTAACCTTTCCTATTCCATATCCACTTTTTCTGTATCCTATAGGTTGTCTGCTTTTCTTATTGATTTATAGTAGTTACTTATATATTCTGAATAACAATGCTATTTAAGTCACATATTTTGTCAATATCTTTTCCCAGACTCCATTTTGTCCTAACAGTGTCTTTTGTAGTACTTAATTTTTAAGGGAAGGGTGCGGGAGAAGAATAATATATGAAAGACTGCATACGTCAGGCAAAAGTCTAAAATATTTACTATCTGGCCCTTTACTGAGGAAGTTTGTTGACCTCTGTCTTACAGAGCAAAATTGATTTTTTATGTTGATATTGTATCCATTTTTGTTGATCTTGACCTTTTTCCTGTCTTCACTGGTTAGCACCTTCTATCAAAATGCTGACTAGAAGTGGTAGAGAGGGTAACTGTCGTATTTTTTATTGTCAAATTACCTCTAAGGTAATAAATATCATATGTACAATGTTTGCTCCAATTTTGAAAGATATACTTTATTAGATTAAGGACAGACAGTACTTTCCAGTCATTGTATTATGAATCACCACTGAAATTTACCAATTTGTTTTCTGCATCTAACTGAGATGATTGGATATTTCCTCCTCCTTTAGTCAATTAAGGGAGCTCAAACTAAATTAATGGATTTTTTAAAGTTGAGAATCTTTGTGTTCCTGGAATAAACTATCTTGATCATGGCATATTTATTGTTATTAAATTGCTGGCTTCATTGTCCTAGTAATTTGCAACTAAATTAATAAGGTAAATTAGTTCATGGTTTTCCATTTTATATTGTCTCGCTGGTGTTGGTAGCAAGGTTATATCAGCTGCATAGAATGATTTGGGGAAATATGCCCCGTTTTTCTATTCTCAAGATATTTTGTGTAGGATTAGGACTACCTGTTTATTTGAATATTTGGCAAAATTCACCTGTGAAACCATAGGTCTAGAAGACTTCTGCTGGTGGCACGTTTTTGAACTACTGAATCAATAGTGCTTTATGGTTATAGGTCTCCTCAGGTTTTGATTTTTGATTTTTTTTTTTTAGCTGAGCCATCCTGCCACCTGTTGGCAGCTCAGCTCAGGCCAGGACTCCAACCGCTATTGCTCATATCTCGCACTCTTGAGCGAGCTCTTAACCAACTGAGCCACTTGGCCGACCCCTCAATTATTTTTTGAGTCAGTTTTAAGAACTATGAATTTCTACAAAACTGTCCACCTAAGCTTTCAGCTTTAATGACATAAAGCAACTTATACTGGTATTCTTTTTAAAAAATCTTCATCTGTGCCAGTATTTCAGTTTAATACTGCATTTTTCCTTTTAAAATATTTGTTATTTATATGTTTTAAAACTTCCAAATATATGAGGTTTTTTGTCGCTGTCACTGTTTTCTACTTTAACTGCATTACAGCTAGATCAAGTGGTCTGTAGGGTATCAACTGAGAAGAACTTGTGGCATAGTACATGGGAAAGTTTTATAACTGTACTTATGCCTGAAAAGAATATGTATTCTCCAATTTTAGAATAAAATTTTGACTCTTTTTTAGATACGTATCTTCATTACATTTTTTTTGTCTGCTTAACATATATCAATTACTAAAAGAAATGTATTGAAACCTCCTAAAGTGGTATTTTGTCAATTTCTCAATATAGTACTATTGATTTTGGCTATATTTAAAGTTATATGATTACATGCATACAAGTTTGGAGTTGTTAGAGCTTCTTGATGAATTATTATTTTAATTTTTGTCAAGCTTCTTGAATTATAGTCTATTTCATCTGAATATTAATGTAAGTTTATCAGCTGTCTCTTGGCAATCTTTTTCTATCCTTTTACATTCAAAACCTTTCAATGTTACTATGTTTCACATCTTTTGTTGATAGCAGTAGATAGATTTTATTTTTATTTATAAGAGACAAAAGAACTATAGGGTGTACTTCAGGAACATGGAAATTAAATCCTGAAGAGACTGAGGCGTAATAAGAAATTGTGAGTAAAGAAATCAGTCTTTCCCTTTGGTTGCTTTAAGATTTTTCTACTTGTTTTTGGTGTTCTGCAGTTTATCTACAATGTATCTAAGTGTGGATTTACTTTTATAGCTGCTTCTTGTTCTTGTTATGCTTCCTAAATCTGAAAATTAATGCTTTCTTCAATTCAGGAAAACTCACAGCCATTATTATCTCTCCAACTATGGCTTTCTCTCTTCTTTTCATCTGGAATTCCTGTTAAATGGATGTTAGATCTTCCATCTGTCTCAGTCTCCTTTTCATATTTCCATCTCTTTATCCCTGTCCTATATTCTGGATAACTTTTGCCATCTCCTAGGTTCACAATTTTTAGCTATCTTTAATCTATTTTTTCTGTTTGTTGTATTTTTAATGTCAATGACCATACTTTTTCTCTGAAGTACTCTTTGGTTCTGTTTCAAATCTTTTTTTTTTTTTGAGTTCTCTATGTCTTGAACCACTTTTAACATGCTTATCTTATAGTTTCTCTTTGATCAGTCTATTATCTGAAGTAAATGGAGATCTAATCTGCTGTTTATTGATTAGTTGACCTACACATGT